ACGCTCAATGTACAGTCCAAGTATAATGCCCAATGTTAAGTCAAACGGTAAATATCGTTCATGATTTAGACACCCGATAAGTAATCGTACACCAAGTTATCCCGCTGTGCACCATTTACAGACAGAGTATAACCGCTTGCAACCCCTGGCCCGAGTGCCGACCAAATGCTGGGCCCGGGCATGCGCTCGAGTTAAGTGGATGGACGGTTGTGTTTGTTATGTGATAAGGCCCTCTGCAATTCTGTGTTTGCTAGATGATTAATAAGGTCGCTTGCCGGCCCGTATGCACCTAAGTATCTGCGAGCATAAGCTGCGCTCCACGTCCACCACCAAGTAATGTATCCAAATTCGTGAAATTAGTGGGTGCTCCTTAAAGATTATGTAGGCTAATGTCTTCCTGACCAATCACCGGCCGTTCCGTGCGATCATTTGCGTAGGTTAAGTGTGGCGCGGATTGCCCATGTGCTGCTATCTTAATGGCTAAAACACACCGTAACTACAGAAACAACTCAGGGCCTAGCCCGTCCTTTCAGAGGAGTTTAATCCTACATCACTGAGCGAGCTGGGCTCGTGTGTTTAATTGTGAGCACTTTCTCTTGTAAGGGCAAGGCGGAGCGTTGATATTAGAAACCCAGCACCGCCCAATGTATCAACGGTGAAATATCGGTCAGACAGAGAACGTTCCGAGTTTCCTTGGCGAGCGAGATAGCAGTCACCATTTGTCCGGGGGGCAGACGTGCAAGTTTGCTGTGATGATATGTTAAATGCTTGGGTATCCCGAGTAGTCCGAAAACAACACAGTGCTTTAAATGTTACTAGCTCATCCCCAATACGTAGCTTGGAGGAGCGTTTCTTGGCGATTGTAGCCAAGCTGCGACAACCATGAATCATCATCAATTTTACATTACAATTTCTTGACTTGACCTATATACGCTCTCAGATGTTCATTGAGTCTGCTACTGATGCAAACATCTTGTCTGTGGCTTCAGAGATCTTTAGTTTTCAACGCCAAAATTTAGACTAGCTTCAACACGATCTGAAGCAAACCCTCGCAGTCCATTGGTAACGCCTAAGATGAGAGACGCATATGCATGATCACGCCCTACTAGGAGATAGGACCCTTAGTAATTGTAAGTATTGTAGTATTGTGTATTATATGTAGTATTATAGTAGGGTGTTATTAGTTTAGGTGTTTAGTATAGATGTATAGTTTAGGGTGTGTTAGTTATCGTGCCACTGAGTGAGATAGTTATAGCGTATTAGACAATTGAGCAAGTGAGATTAGCAATTAAGGATTAATTATTAAAGTAGTGTTGGTATTGTAGTATTGTAGTGATTGGTGAAAAGATGTGCGAACTAACTGGAGGACTATGGTAAGTTTAAGCTATGCGAGGCCGACTCTAAAAAGCACAGAAAAAGCCTACAAGTTTTGCCCGCCTCCGAGCGCAAAGGTATCTGTATGACCAATCCAGAGCACCGAAGTAAGTTAGCCAATGCGCTGCGAGAATGTGATAGTTAGAATCAAAACTGCAACAGCGACAATTGACAATGGAAGACAAAGTCGCTCACAACCGTCGTAGAATTATTCAATAGTGTGTAAAGATAGTCGTGCAGAGTTAGACACATGTACATGAAATGCAGACAGAACACTCGAGGAGCGGTTCTATCGCCATTAAGTCTGCTTTAGTGAGTGTAACAGCTTAAGCAGAAGCCGAATATTCAGACGCCAGAAGTCCATTCGGGTCAAAGTAACTAATATGAACGCCGAGGCAAGAGTCCCTTGATCATGAGTACGAGAGGCAGCTATTTACAGGCAACCAGATGACAGAACGCCGACCAGTTTGGAAAAAGAACTGAAACACCTCTCCTAAACAAACTGGCCTGCACAAAGATGCACCAGGAAGATATTAAAAACTATTCACGCAATAGGCAGCTGATTTCTAACACTGCGAAACAAATCAAACGCTCGGTCGTAACTCGGTAGACCCACACTGGTACAATACCTAGAATGAGTAAGGCTCGCAAGCGCCAGGGTATGCCGAAATTACTTGATATCCAAGACCTAGCACTCGCTCTCAAAACGTACAGTTTGAACCGACGAAGAGAAACAGTAATCTTGATCCTTTTCTTTACAAATAACCCGTTACACTTGTAAAGAATAGTCTCAAAACTGCAGCCATAGGGTCTGGAGACCCACGCACATGGGTTATGCACCGGACTGCGACATAAAACGCCTTGTAGCGTGAAAACCAAGCGACGCATAGCAGTACCAACTAGTACACCTCAAGGCCTAGACTACTGAGCGGAGCAACGCCTACAATGTGCGAGACGCATAAGCAGAAAAAAAACATGCAGGCATGGCGTAATTTCAGCGCACGAGTCCTGCCACAAGAACCTGTTCCATGCCAACAGTTCGGTGTTTGCAATGCAAACTGGATCGCAAATTCAAGGAGCGGTATGAAACTATAGCTATAACCAGATTTCGTACCACAACACACAGAAGTAGATTAAAGGGAACAAGAAGCCTAGCCGATGGGTGAACTGAGCATATTTAAGAAAGCGATGCAAGAAAAAGCAAGACGGCGCGCTATCTTTCTATCAAAATACCATCAAAGAACGCGCAGTGGCGGTACAACACACTGGGGGCCTACCGGGGTATAAAATACGAGAAGAAAGCTCGTTGCGGAAATTAATAAACCAATCACATCGGTAATAAGTCTGAACCAAATCCCTCAATGCTCAGATCTGCAAAGAAATAAACCCTGAGAACATTTTGGAGTGTATCAACGGTGATATGATAGTCGTCAGATTGTAGACCAGACCGAGCGGAAGTATCGTACACCAAAAGTATAACGGCCGTCCTGTGCATCGGAATCAAATTACAACACGAAGTATAATCACCCTGTACCACCCTCTATGCATCATCGACCGATAAAAGCGATACCCAATGTACACCCAAAGTATACCCCCAATGTATGCCTAAGCGTGATAATAAATCGTGCAGATTTAGACTAAGCCGACCTAAGTATCTGCGTACAAGACGCAAGTAATAGTGTTTGCGCCCCTGTGCAACCAAATAACAAACAACGTAATATCAGCCTCTGCTATACCCCATACATAGTCTGACCATCACGCCATGTATCTTCGCCAATATTCCAAGTAATTCAACCGGCGCAATGTATGCCAACGGTGAAATATGCGTCGGATATTTTAGAACACAAAAGTATCGTTACATCCTCAAGTTATATCTACGCCCCTGTTGCGACCTTTCATATTACTAGAGCCAGTTATAGTTTTAATCATTTACACTCTCTTGTTATTATCTGATCCCTTTATATTCTATAATTTCGACCATGACGCTGTTCTATCTCCATGTTAACTATTTATCTCCAAGTATATTTTACCTTCAATGTATCTTTAACTGGTTGAAATATGCGTCAGATTAGACACCAAGTATCGCGTAAACAGCATGTGACAAAGTATTTATTATTTTTAAAGGCAATGTTATCGGAACGACGACCCTAGTGTCAAGCGGCAAATTAGAACCAAGTATATGGTCACGCCTGTATTATTCGACCCTACCTATCACTATTCGACCGCTAATAACATTCACGGCGCCATGTACTATATTCCATTATGCTGGTGTTTTAGTGCGTATTTCTCAGACCAAGTAGTATTACCTCAATGTAATCCAATCGGTGAAAAATATGCGTCAGATATTATGACACCCGATAAATTAATCAGCGTACAATCAGAGCGAACAGCAAGTATTAAACCCGACCCATGTGCACCATTTGCAACAATGTAAGCTACACTTTAGGATATTAGAGAATACATGATGCCGATGACGCTCGTGATATGGAAATTAGTTGCTAGCATAGAATAAGGAATATTGTGGCGAGCGCTGTAAGTACCCGCCGGATACATATCGGACCCATTACGCGTCCATGCGTACACCAAGTACCTCAATGATATCAACCAGGTTGAAAATATCCGATAACAGATTGTAGACACCGGCGATCGCGCCGGAGCATTGATATGATCGGCTAAGTACAGTTATCTCAGGCAGACAGCGATCCGATATAGTGACCGGATAGGTTGGTGTAATCAAGAGAGATTATATGCATGCGCGCCTGAAAGCTCGTGCAAACAGCAATTTACAACAGAACTTAAAGTATAATAGCACGAATGTATACGTGACGCAATAGCACGGAAGACCTAGATTGAGGGCCACTGGTAAATCCCCTCTATAACATACCTCGAACATAGATACACGTATATAGGGAACGCCCCATGTACATGGATATTAGGTGATGGATACACAATATGGAAACATCAAGGTTCCATTGTATAATGCCAACGGCTCGAAATAATACGTCAGATTTGATCGACGCAACGATTAGCCGGCTCGGAAAGGGCATCTATCGGTTACCAACCGATGATTTATAATTTGCATTATGTGGGCCAGGAGGATATAGATCAGATAGATAAGTCTTCCGCCGTATTAAGGTTATAAAGTCCGATTCGTAAAGATTGTTGGGCAACCAAAGCAGATATAGGAGCGTGGACATGATCTGTGCGAATAGCAGCTATAAGCACATGATGACTTTCGAAGTGATGGACTAATAAGTATAGAGTATAGAGTATCCGTCCATGTTATCCTGAGGAGCACGAGAACCGTCGGGATTATCTCGTTCCCAATTAATCATAACAATATAGCACCAATCAATCTAGTCGCGCGTAGTTTTTTAGTTTCGCAGGTCTGGGGCCGTGGGCGTTAGGCGAAATTCTGCGGAAAATGAATCACCGCAAATATACAGCGTTATCAGTGGACCTGTGTAGAGGTATTCCGTATTAGGATCCGCGAAGTTTTTAATTTCATTCCTGTTATGTGATAAAGTTGTCTCTTGGGCTCGTGAGCGAAGCAGCTGAGAGGCGTATTGCGAGATCAGAGCCTCACCGTACGCCTACGTCCAGCAAGCGTCCGCACCAGTCGAACACGAATAGGTTCCGAAGCCTGTTCCCACGCCGCTCTGCTGGCTACCTTGGTGGTAGAGGGCGACCAGCTCCTAAGATTCCCTTCTTCGGGTAAGCATCGATTAGCCATTACCAAGAGCACATGAACGTAGCCATCTGCGATCCGTTGTCAGAAGCATAATAAGTGGTTATGACATCTTTGTAATAGATATCATTATTTGATTATTATTGTAAATATAATAGGTATAATAATAGATAATAATCTTGATAATAAGTAGCAAGTCTACATTGTCACAACCTCTGCAGTGAGGTGTCAAGTTAACGTTATGATAGTTCAGACTTTAGATAGACATAACTTTTTATGAAGGTTCTGACAACGGACCGCTGTTTGCTTGGGATGGATGCGTCTGATATAAATCAATTGATCATGTGATTTGCGCCAACAAATGGAAAAACTACTCTCTCGGGCCAATTGTCGCTGTGACCTATCACAGGATGGGTTATAACTAGCAACATAGACCAAGAATAACATAGAAGATAAGATAGAACCAAGAATAAGTCATTCTTAGTTTATGCTAGCAACGAGTAGGGATTAGCTGAGTCGCATGCCGCCATATTGGATCCTTTTCGAATCCACCTTGACATCAGGATCAACAATTTCAAATCGCTGACCCAAACAAGCGATCGCCTTATCTTAGGTTGTTGTGCTTTTGTTCGGAATGCAATCGGTGACGAGCCGTTTAAAATGTGGCATTTCAATAATCAAACAATTATGTTACAAACTAAAGTGGGAATCGCGTTAAAGTAGTCAGAACTACCCGAAAGCAAATCTGCTATCTATCGGTGCATTTAGCTGCCTATGACCCATGTAGATTATTAGCCTGTTGCATTTTGTTAATGTGTTGCATGTTTTCTGTCTGTAAAGGGGAAGGAACGGACAAGGACGGATCGCGAGGGACTATTACAACCCAGGATTCTTCTAACAAGCTCATTGTGATGATGCAATAATATTAGTATCGAAGCCGACGCAATTATGACAACAATTAAATTTAAATTATTCGATGAAGATGTATTTGTAGATATATTGTATGTACTGCACGATGTCTCTTTTGACATATAGGAAGCGTTAATTCATAACAGCTCATTTATATACGAATCACTTTATGTGTACTCATATGAAATTAATTGAAATAAAAATCCGTGTATAAATAATGAACATTTATTGGTAGATGTATTTCTATATCCATAGTTCGTTCAGAGATGTCAAGGACGATTGTACCGATTGCATAGCTAATTATCCGCCTCCGCTCATATATTCTCTTATAATACAGCAGACCAGGCACTTACACTGAAACTTATAATCCCCAGTGTTTGCCTCAATACCCCTTAAAACTCTTCTAGCGGATCGCTTTCCCCCTGGCACATAGGGTAGGTGCGTCTCCCTCTCCGTTCGTGCGTCTCTCACACCACATTCGCGCACACACGCACTCACACGCACATGCCACTCAAGCACGCGGGACCGACACCGTTAGCGTATTGTTATACGAAAAATGCAGTCATGTATATCAGAAGCTGCAATTATTAAATACCTCGAGTATTAATCATCATCTCTTGTCTCTATTCTATTATATATAATATATATTTTTTTTTTTATTCTAGAAGATTCTTTTAGCGGCCTCGAACTCTTGATATATAATATTATAATATATATATATATATCTGATAGAGAGAAAAGATCAAGAGAGGAAATAGCGAGAAAGAGAGAAGAGAGAGAGAGAAGAGAGGACAAGAAGACAGAGAGAGAGAATATAAAGAAGCAATTATATATATATATATATTATATATATATATATAATAATAGTATATCTATATATAATATAACTCTCTCTCTCTCTCTCTCCCCGAAAACCCCTCGCACCTCCTCTCTCTCAATTCTCCTCTCTCTCGTCTCTCTCTCTCTAACCCCTCCTCTCTCTAAACCAACCTTCTCCATTTAATATTATATATACTCTATCTCTCCCGCTCACGCACAGGCGCGCGCACATACACGCACACGCGCTCTCTGTCAGTGCGCGTGTACGTGCGCGTGGTCGCTCAGGCACGCAACAACAACATGTACACATATATTTACATATATACACAGCGAAGTTCTTACGTTTGCAATATTATCAAGAGCTACATAGTTACATTATATCAGGAGTGAATAATATCTATGATTCACTCCTGATTATATTACATTAGTGTATCATTAGCTTTTTAGCCGACCCGTATGTTAGCCGACCCGTTGTGCTGTTTCCGCTCTACACCTCCGAATATGGTTTGTAATATGTCATCGCCCGCTGTCCCGGACTTATATTATTAGAGAAAACAGGTAGAATCAGGGCGTGACGGTTGGACTGCGGAGGCATAATATAAAAAATCTGCTGCCTCTGCCTGAGAGATGATGAAAAGATAGAGAAGATGCATGTAGAATAATAAATCGTCACAGACATAGAAAGTGCTCTGCAAGTTATGAAGATGAGAAGACACATTGATATATTAAGAGGTTTTCAAGAATATATTAATAACGATAAAAACTCGATGTAAACGTGAGCGATTCATCGGTGTATGACGCAGCACGGCACCACACACACAACAACACACACACACAGGCACACACATCACACATGCACCCACACACACGACACACACACACCACACACACACAACCACACAACACACAAAACACACCACACACGCAGCACACACAACACACATCTACGCAAAAACACACTACACACCACACAGCACACATCACCACGACACCTACACACAACACACACACACACACACACACACACAACACACCACAAACGCACCCACACACACCACCGGCGTACACACACACACACACACACACACAGCACACACTCACAAACAACACAACACACACACACACGCGCGCCAAGCGCGCGCGCGCAATATACACAACACACACACACACACAAAACACCACGCACACACACACACACACACACACACACACACACCACACACACGCACGCACGCACACACACACCACACACAACAAACCACGGCGCGCACGCGCGCACGACACTACACAACACACATCCGCGCGCAGCGCACGGTTACACGCAAGACAGCCGCCACGCCACGGCCACACCACACACACACACACAACACCGACGCGCGCGCACCCGCACGCCACGTAAACACACACACACGCCACGCACGCACGCACGCACCGCACGCACACACCAGCACGCCACGCACGCACACACACGCCGCACGCAACGCGCACACACACACACGCACGGCACATCACGTGTCGCACACACGCACACCCCACACGCACGCACGCACGACACGTACACACACGCACGCCACGCATCGCAACACACCACGGCACACCCACACACACGGCCACGCACCACCCACACACGCGTACGCACACACACGCACGCAGTACACACGACGATCACACGCCACGCACAACACACACACGCACAAACGCACACACACGCACGCACGCACGCACGCTCGCACACACACACACGCACGCACCCACACACACACACACACTCACACACACACGCACGCACGCACGTACAGCCCCCCCACACACACACACACTTGTACACACACATGTCCACATATGCACACAAATACACAGTTTAAACCATTATACTATCACCTATATCAATATAATCATCATAATAAATGTATATAGCTCTTGCATGTAATATCTCAGCTTATTAACTTAAAATGCTATATGTATTATTACCTCCTGATTATGTGCATGTAATATATCAGCTTATTAACTAATCTTCTTCTTCATCTCGGGTCACTACTACGCTACACTCGATCTCCTGTGCAGCACACAGGAACTGGCACGGTGAAAACCTTAAGGTCTCCAATGACCTAATATAGCAATACCAAATACCAATACCTATTTATATATATCACCTATATATTAGCTAATAAGACTCTATGCATTATTAGCTCCTGACTGTATACTTACGTAATATCAACTTACGTAATACCAGGGGTTAATAATGACACAATTTCATTTATGACAATGTCAAAATGTCAAAATGTCAAAATGACAATTTGTCAAATTGTCAAAATGTCAAAATGACAATTTGTCAAATTGTCAAAATAACAAAATGTCAAAACGACAATTTGTCATTATTAACCCCTGGTAATACGTAATGCGTAATATTAGCTTACCTGCCGTTGTCGCCTCGGTAGCGTATGTCGTACTGGGGCGGATCATTAGATGGTTCGCTCGGCAACAGGCGGGACCTTCCCCGTGCGTTCCCGTACTGTAGGTAAGCGTAGGGGTGTGGCGCGAAGTCCGAGTAGCTTTCAGCGCTGGCGTCGGCTTCATGTAGAAACTGCAACCGTATTTCCCATGAGTGTTGACCAGCGCCAAACTGCATGCAGTTCACCTTCGTACACTCAGGATACGAGATTGTAGATGGGGAGTGTCTATATTCAAGCCGGTACGGGAGATGACAGTACGCATATATTTGCTAATATATTGACTAATCGTGCATCAATTGACTCAATATTCACAGAGAGTACAGCTAAGACATGTGTATCTAGAATATATTATGCAAATGATCTCCCGTACCGGCTTGAATTCATACTCTCTGTGAATATTGAGTTTATTGACGCACGATTAGTCAATATAGCAAATATAAAATTATATATGCGCGTGGAAGTGAATTACAGATGATTAAATTTCTAAAATTCTAGCTACCTATAGACACATATCTTAGCTATACTCTCTGTGAATATTGAGTTTATTAACGCACGATTAGTAAATATATTAGCAAATATATGTGTACCGTAATCTCCCGTACCGGCTTCAATATAGACACCCCCTTGTAGATTGAGCACATGAGCGAGAGCGCCATCTGTCGTGGAGTTTGGACCAGCGCAAGCGTGTATACGTATAACGCGTACTGAGTATATGGCACAGGTAGAAAACCGCCTCGCGTGGTAAACGTTCTATTTTTACTGATATCACAGCCGAAGGAATGCGTGTCAGTGAAACCACGATATAGATTATTATCAGCAGTGTATAATATACTTATCACAGCACCCAATAGCCGTACGGTGATGCGGTACAGGTAATGCTGTGGTGCAGGTACATAGAGCATCGAGGATTGTAGGCAATGTATGTAGGCCTTTTTTAACATGTGTAAACTGCATATATACCTACACTAGTAGAGAGCACTTAGCCGGCATTTAAGGCGCTGGCGGCAACAGGGGCACGCTGCCCGCGCCCCCCACATTTGGGGCCCCCCACAGTTTAGAGTATCCGCTAAAATTTACAAAACTGTCGTACATTGTGAATCCACAAAATTCTTAGCCATGTAACGTTGAAGTGATGGCGTTTTCCCAATGCTGTTTCTCTGACTGCAATTTTGCTGTTTCAGCTGAATGGGACGCTTTCCCTAAATACCGCAAATTCCCTCTGAGAAGAATCTATACTTTCATTGATCGTCTCGAATTTGTAGCGGTGAAGGTCAATTTTCAAAACTCAGTTGATTATAAAATCACATTGAGAACCACATGAGCCAACAGAGACTGGTAAACCGCCAGTATTCTCGCTATCGAAAAGTGACATTTTTAAATTTTGTTGTTATTGCAAACACGATGAATACTTTCTGAATTTGCAGCTATGAAAGTGCAGAAAATACAATGATATAGGCCCCCACACATATTACGTGCCCCGGGCCCCCTCACGCTTAGTGCCGGGCCTGAGCTAGAACGCGTAAAGATTTGCATCATATGAATTCTATCGACCTATTAAAGTGCCGACATCATCTACTATCTATAGTATTGTGTGTGTTACTCTGCGTGTAATACTCTGCGTGTGTTACTCTCATAACTTTAGAACCATTCAGCGTGTTTACACTTAGCATTCTTCTAAACATGTAGACGGTTTACGGATATAATTCTTACACAAACTGACTGTTTACACTAGGTTCTTACTCATTCGAATCAATTCTAAACGCTCGTGATATAGTACGCCTGTGTCACGTTTATTACGCAATAGCAGGATCACAGAAAACTGGTTACAATTTAACACACAATAGCTAAGCACACAAACAGTTTTACCCTGCTACTACAATACTCGTTAATGCTACCTATACGCCTTGCTACTATACCAATACTCGCTATTACTATCTATACGCCTTGCTA